CGCACAGTGACATAGATCCTGCAAGATGGTTTCGCTCATGACCTTGGTGCGACCGTACACGCTGTCAGCCTTGAGAAGAGTCGTCTCTGGTATGGGAATGATTGGAGGGATTCCATACACGGTGGCTGACGAGGAGTACACGAGGCGCGTGCAGTCGAACTCGTTCATAATCTGGGCGAGTTGAATTGTTACGCCAACGTTGTTTGCGTAATACGCTAGGGGTATCTCAGACGATTCACCAACGGCCTTCAACGCCTGGATATCAGAAACATCGTCAGATGCGTCGTCGGGCAATTGGTATCGAAAGCAGTCATCGGGAACGTACCGCAATGTGAATAACACCCCAGATACCACCTTTTCCATACTTTTCGAAAATGGCCCGAACGTCCGCTTCATTTTTCAAGTCTCCTGAGAAAGCGTCAACCTCTGCGCTATCCCGATCCTGCTCAGTCGCATCGACTGGGAGTTCGTTCTTTGCGAGCTCATTGACGCGCTTCAACGCTTCAGGGTAGGAATTGTGGTGATTGTCGATGGAGATGACTTTGTATTTCCTTGTCTGAAGAAGGACAAAGACAACATGGGATCCTTAGTGGCCGGAGGCGCGAAAGCATGTCAGCAGACCTCAGTATAGCCATTGAATTGTGCAGGACTAACCGATGTATCCAGCACCGCCAGTAACAAGGACAGGCTAACCAGGAGATGAAGATGTCAGAACGGATTCAATGGCTTTTTAGGATGCATCGAGCACGGTAGCCTTCGAGCAGCACTACAGCTTCAATCAATCAAATTCCTATACTCACTCTGAGCTGCTCAGGTGCCATAGTGAGGATGTTAAAGGGGGTGATTGGCTCTTGCAGGCCGAGGTAGCGTGGCGTTTATAATCTGACCGCAAGATCTTTCCCCACCGGTCTTTGCTTGGTGAGTTCTGTACGTGGCCGGTAGTACCCGTGCTTCAAGAAGCAGAGTGTGGGATGGCGAGTGAGATGGCGAGGGGGAGAGAAAAGATGTGCAAGCCAGATAGTTTAGCAAATTCTAATACAGGCGCTTGTGGGGTTCGAAGAAGGGTCGGTTATATTACATCACATGACAAAAGTCATAAGATTTCAGCTAAAAGAATAATACAAGCAATAGGCCGCAAAGAATACTAATAAACAATGGGATGAAATATTGAACGAAATGAAGGTTGGAGGTAGAAAAGAGGCATGAAGGCACACGTTCGTCAGAAGCATTCCGGGCCGCCTCAGCTACCACCCCGACTGCTGACGCTCGCACCAGAACCTCCCATCCGCATGATTTCCCCATATAAAGACATCCCCCGCATCTTTCTCCGCATAGCTTGATCGTTAGAGCTGGTTGTTGAGTGCATCGGAGATATCGGTGGGCGTGGTCTGGTGGAAGCAGAAGAAGAGTAGGAAGATGCTCCAGGTGTCGGCGTATTGCGCAGAAAAGGCGCCGGGGTCCGCTTCGAATCGTATTGAGACGGGAGAGTTAGATAATCCTGCGGTACGGGCGGAGGTTTGTATGGGACCAAAGGTGGTGGTATGGAAAGTGGTGTGGTGGGTTGACGAGGTGAAGGAGCTATGGGTGATGCTATATCGTGCTCACATTCACGGAGACTACCGTGAGGGGAGATATAGTGCTGAGGGACTGAAGGGGAGTATATGGGTGATGCATCAGGCGAGTCATCGTGAACCTGGCCCGTGCGTGGTTGGAGTAGTGATGGAAGGGGCCCGTTGGATCGGGTATGGGGGAGTCCCAGCTCCGGAGGTTGAGGCCGTGGGTATGACAGACTGATATCGGATTCTTTGCGAGCGAGCTCATCACTTGCGTAGTATGGAGAACCGCCTCGAGGGAGCGGTGGTTGAAGGATTATTGGCGGAACAGGCGAGGGCCGCCTGGCCGACCTTCCGAGTGACGATCGACTGAAGTTCCTAGCGAGATTTTCAATGGGTGACAGCATGCTGTGGTCGGAGTTCCGAGTGACAGACCTCGAGAACCACCCTTTTGTCGGCGAAGACGCAATAGGAGATCCACCGCCTTTTTCGGTCACGGGCGATCCAGCAGCGTACATGTCGACCAGCCCGTCAAAGGAGTACATCGATTCGTGCTTGGCACCCTCGCCTTGAATCGCTACGTTGAGATGTCTGCTCATGGCCGATGGTTGATTGCGCGACATGCGCGACACCATCGATCCCCGATCATCTCCGCCACCATAGTAATCGTCGTAGATGTCTTCATACGCAGACTCCCGATCTGATCCCACTTTTTCGTCGTCTTCATGCGTGATTCTGAAAGTGGGTGGGGTGGGGTAGCGGTTCGAACGGTCTGGCTCTGGCCCATCATCGTGTGCAGTTTCGGAAGACTCGGAGGAGTGTGACTTTCTCCAATCGTGTCGTAGGGGGTGGTGCTGCTGGCGTTCCTGCCATTGGCGCTCGTGATACTGCTGCATGTGATGAGTGGATACCGGCAAGGGTGAGGGGTTTCGGATTGAAGATTCCTCCGTTCTCTCGGAGACCGTGTATAACTTCCGACCCGACCTATCCCATGGATGATCCATCAATTCATCATCCACAAGCGTATCCTCCCCACTCCCACTCCCATTGCTAGGACCCCGGGTAAGGTCTACATTGTTATGACTGTTCCAGCTGTATCGTCCCCTTCGGGTGGCGTCTCGCGGCACCTGTGATGATTCTTCTTTATGCGATCGGAATGGACGGGAAACAGCTTTCCCCCCATGTTCCCGAGTGTCTAGCGTTTGGCTCACTTCATCCATCTGCTGCTGCTGACGCCTTTTGTGTCTCCGATGAAACATGTATACGGCGAACGCGAACGCGGTCGTGGTGAATGCGATGATGAGGAAGACGAGGATTAAGAACACTGCGCTGGAAATCTGGATGAGTGGAAAGTAATGTGAGCCTTCATAAATTAAACGCGTCAGATTATTGGCTTCAATTACATGAAGTTTGCTCGCTACGGGCTCTAGATCTGTGAGGACTTGCTCAAGGGACCGCTTGTAGGGCTGGTGGTGTTTGACGAGGCTGGCGAGGGATCTGGAGTAATTCACTTTTGATTCCTCGGGGATACTCTCCATTCACTCGTCGTCCCGGACGACGTCGTGCCTAATGGACCCAAGGTGGCTGTTTGAAGCGTGGGGGATGGCGAGAACGGTCAACGAGCGTGTTGGTCAAAGAGGCCAGTCTAAGTATAAATCGTCGACAACGAAAAGCCAAAAGACACCAGAAAACGAAGAGAACAGGAGGGACGAGCGCAAGCAGATGACAGTCGAAAGAAGTGAAGCGAGTCTATGATGCTGGCGAGCGATTCGGCAATAAGAGCGAGTGGGTGATGAAGTGGTGGCACGTCGTCAAGGCCGCAGCCGCGGCAGCAAACTGAAACGTATGCAGATCAGGAATAACTGCAGAGTACCGATTAAGGCGATGTTTGAAGGGTTGGAGCGCAGCACGGCCGCTTTCACAATTTAAGGGCGTCTAAACAGATGTGTTACATATCTGGCCGTTTCAGATTGGCGTATATCGGATCTCTGAGCCGACCTTGCCGATCACGGCGGCAACTCCTCGTCTCCACAGCGTGGCAGGCCATTCGCCATGACGTGCATCCAGAGGTTGTAGGTGGTCGTGGTGCGTCAGAACGTGAAGCGACAGTTCAACTTTTCAGGGCCCTTATATGCTTGCTGATCTCCAGTCGCTTTCGCGACTAACAGCCTCAGATAGAGTCCTATTCAGCAACAGGGAGATTAAACTGCTGCGATATTTTGAGGGGGGTTGAGATCGAATTTTTAGATGCTCGAAGAACCAGAGCTTGACTGGAGTCCACCTCCTACAACCTCCCGCTCTCCTCAGCCCGCCTAACAGCCTGTAAGAAGATCTACTGAACGAATGACCGCAGGACCAACTCTTTATACATCTGGCTTGGATTGATGTTTTGCAGCTATATGAGTGATATGTATCTTGGTCTGACACGCAGATTTCCAATCTACCACCACTGATTCCATGCTGAATGCTAGATCTCCTTAGTCCCTCGTTTCCGGGATCAAACCACACACAATATTGTCTACCTTTCTGAGCTGTGCCAACCTAAGCGATGGCGACTGAGTGAGTGACATGCCCACAAACACTGATCCCCGCAAACGAGGGGGATATCGGATTTTTACTCTTTTCACCGGCAACCCCTCGAAGTGGTTGTCGAGGAATCTCGTTTGCGTTCAAATCCCTTCTGGCAACCAGTGGAAGTGATGTCCACCATTTAAAATATGGTTTACATCGAAGTAAAGAATTGATGAGATTGCATCAGAATAGAGTGTATACAGGGTTTCATCATAAGACAAGCCCCCATTCACATTTCCCCTCACGTCTCACTTAGATCGAGTCTGTTCCACTTGTAAATTTACAGGCTATGGATTTACCATTTCCCGATGACGTGTACAAAATATTGAATTGTTTCGTTGAGAATTGAGTACAAGGTGTCTGTTCCGGAATATGAGTGGTTTAGATGAAAAAACCAGATTTGGTAAGATGCACCCACTCTGCCTGTCAATCTACCTGTTTTGCTCCAACATCCAACCAGGATAAAACTCTCATCTATTCCTGGCATAGTATTCAATGATCTGCGCGATCTTTTGATTGTGAACACCTAGTTTTGCAGCTAGCCTGTGAGGCCTAATGTAGCACTACGACCAACCTTCAAATCAGCCTTATTCACCATGATAAAGTGCTGTAAATTGGTCCAGTCATTGAGATTGTAATTTCTAATCAATTTCCTGGTTTAGAATTGTCATAAATATTATTTTTTTCCTTGGCCTGAAACTTAGATGCAGGGGACAAAGAGAAAACGTCCCTGTCTATGCAAGAGTCACTATAAGAAAATTCTACACCAGGTCATGTTTATCTGCAATTCTAGCGCTAGACTCCCCCAAATTCAAAGCTCCTACTCCCTTTGAAAGAATCCCTTCGGAAGCTAATGAACCACTTACAAAAGTGGTCAACCGAATGTGGGGTTCGAACCCACGACCTCAGCCTTATGATTTCCTGGATAGGAAAGCTACGCCCTACCACTAGGCTAATCCGGCGAATAATTGAGGAGAAAATGGGCAAAATATCAGGAGAAGTTTTTCCCAACTAAAACACTTATTTTGGCCGTTGGTCTGGGTCACTTTAGAACATGCAGAGATAGCGGTTGATGTTACAATTACAGTTTCATCTCCCACTACCTAATGCTACCGACTCTGATCCAACACCAAAGTTCACAGCGAACCAGCGAACCCCGCGCCAAAATTGAATACCCTAGTAGCAAGTTGTCCATTCCATTTGCGTCCACTGCATCCAGCCACTGGTCTAGCCTCATACGGAAGGTCTGCATCGAAAACACGATGCACACGTACCCAATAGAATGATATCAGCCACATCGCCTAGCTGCCACCCCTCCCCACACCTTGCACTTACGTCGCACATTTTACACCACACCCATTGCGTCTAAGCCTCGACCATCTCTCATGAGTGCCCAGGGCCTTCCTAACGCTATGGATAGCCTCAACCGCCTCCCTTGATTTGTGACCAACTCTGCTCCCAGCCGCCCTTCAAGGGTTGTCCTCAACGGTGTCACAGTCTCAGCTTGCAGAGTCGTCCGACTAGCCGAATTGAGTGCCGCAGTACTCGGCTGTCCTTCAGAGATCTAACATGATGTTCGTCTCTGACGCCTTTTCTACAGATAAACCGATAAAGTTGTAAACTAGCTAAAGAGGCTAATGTGGCTGATCGTCTTCAAGTATGAAAATGATAGGTTGAAAGTACGTGCCTTCGACACGAGAACCGAATCTATCGTTTCGTCGATATGTGTTGACATCTAAGACGAACATTATGCCAGCCGAAACTAAAATAGCAGGTTTGTTTCTTCCAGATTTTCCCACTTCCGAATCATCGGCCAAGGTTGACCTAAATGCATTCCATGCGACCGGTACTCTGCCAGGTGATCTCGTGAGAGCCGTTGCTAGCACAGAATATCAAGCTTTTAAGCTCAGTGTTCCCGTAATGCCTTCTCCCGCCGGCGACGTCGTCGGATTGATTATAGGTATCGGTGAACAAATCGCCAAAATAGTTGAGGTAAATCGTAAAAATCCATTTTGAATCGTTAACTGGTTGCTACTGAATTGAATCTCAACACAGAACGTCAAAACCAAACCTAAATTATTTCCCAAGTACTCGCAAATCGGAAGCTCGGTGACCTTCCAGCCAGCACCGAAAAACATTTACAGGAGATTCTAAAGTAAGGCCTAGGCTCCCGAGTGTGAAAAGCATTGCTGAGTGTTTGGGAATGGCTTTTCGGGGCTCTTCAATTGGTTCGGGATACTGTGGGCAGGCACATGGACCAGAAACGGCTAAGTCAAACCATTCTCGCGTCTGAAAATGCGGTGGCGCTCGACAGGTGCGCAATGAAGATTGATATTACATTCAAATCCCTCGACGTAGGCGCCAGTTAGAACCCCGCGAATATTGAACCGACCCCCCTGGTAATAATTTTCTTCCTCTATGATGGTTTTCCGCTTGTTGGTACAGCGGCTTATCGACTCAGATTCCCACCGGAAAGTAACGATCCTCGGCATATGAGACCACCCAAGAGTTACGATCGCATGCTGACTATAATTTGTGTTCGTTGAAACAGACGGCCTGCTCAACCAGCTAGGCATTGCTGACAACGGTGCGACCAACAAGGCCGCTAATATCAAGGATATTGCGTGTCTGCCCCGAACTCGAACCGCTGTTCTGGCTCGTATAGAAGGGTGGATAGATGACATGGGACACTTCCAATCACGTATTCTGGCTGTCCGGGCCCGCAGGTAGCGAGAAGACAGCGGTTGCCGCAATGATCGAGTCGGAGCGGAGCACTGAAACCGTTTTGACCACCTTTCACTTCTCTCGAGGCAACCCAGTGCAGAACAAGCGCGTCATCCCAGCCATCGCGCTTCAACTCGCCCTGTGGGTTATGAGTCTCTGAACCGCTTCTTCGTAGTGGCGATGGATGCTCACAGGGGTCTCTCAGAGGCTCACTTGAACACACAGTTGGAACACCTTGCCCCAGAGCCTATCAGAGGATGGTTCCGGGAACATCTCCTGTATTGATCGTCCTCGACGCACTTGAAGAGTGTGAAGACGCGGCCTTTGTGCAAACCGTCCTGAAGCTTATCTAGAGCCCAGACAATGTTCCGATCATCGTCAAATTTAGTACCAGAAGCTGTCCAAAGGAGTATGTATGTAGACGGATGTCGATCGTCTCACGCTCCAAAGTCGAACACCGCACAATGGAACTCTTGAGCCTTTAATCGCAGATGAGCGAGATCACCGCGATACTCCGCCTAGCAGACGCCTGGCTGCTGGTACGCCACACGGGAGCTATGCTTGATGTGCACGTATGCGACTAAGCCTGCATTTAGGAGCACCTTCTGGATGGTCCTGGGCAAAGCACAGTACCACCACTCCTGTCCGATAGCCTAGACTTCATAATCGACTTGAACGACATCGCTACCGCTAGTGCAGCACAGATATATCAATCCGCCCTAGTATTCTCTCCAGATCCGTCGCTACTTCGGAGAACATATAACCCTATCGTCCAAGACACGACGCGTGTGTGCTCCGAGGTGCATATCCGCCGTGGTCCCATGTCAGTGGGTTGGAAGACGCGATGGCGAGAAGATCCAGCGCCTAGCTATCTCAACCGACAAGAAAACAATCGTATCTGGATCATCCGATAGGACGATCATGTTATGGGGTCGGAAATCTGGAGGACTGCGATGCGATACGCTGAAGGGCGTAACGAAAGTGTGCCCTCCCTCGCCATCTCGCTTGACGGGAAGACCGTCGTTTCTGGATCCTCTGATCACACTGTCTTACTGTAGGATACGGAGACAGGGAAAGCCAAAGGCCCAGCATTAAAAAGGAATACGAGAGCCGTGCACGACCTCACTATCTTAGCCGATGATGAAACCGCCCTGTTTGGGTCCAGTGGCAAAACTGTCAAACTATGGGATTTGGTTCGGTTGGAGGTCCCAGAAGTACATACGAATGACGTAGTGTGCCTCGCCATCTAGCTTGATCGGGAGACCATCGCGTCTGGATTAGTTGACAACACCGCCCGACCGTGAGACCCAGAGACAGGGGCGGCTAGAGGACCAGCGTTAGAAGGGCACACCGACCGCGTGTACTGTCTCGCAATCTCACCCAATGGGAAGAATGTTGTGCCTGGATTCGGTGACAAGATTGTCCGAATATGGGATATAGAAACGGGGAAGGGCAATGGTCCAGCGTTGGAAGGACATGATGGCCCGTGTACTGCCTCACCATCTCACCCGACAGGAAGACCATCGCCTCTGGGTCAACTCATGTGAATATCATGCTATGATATCTCAAGACAGGGGTGGCTAGGAGTCCCGCATTAGAGGGGCACACTGGGTATGTGGTCTGCCTCTAGATGTCACCAATGGGAAGACCTTCGCATCAGGATCCTTTGACGGCACTTTCCAACGGTGGGCATGGAGACGGGGTCTTTTAGAAGTCCAGCGCTGAAAGGGTATACCAGCTTCGTCCTCTGCCCCACCATTTCACCCGATGGGAAGACTATCGCACCTGAACCACCTGATGGTATGATCATCCTATGGGATACAGAGACGCGGGCTGTCGTAGGCCCGCCATTTGAGGAGAATAACGACCCCATCACCTACCTCGTCTTCTTGCCCGACGGGCAGACCGTTGTGTCTGCGTTCGAAAGGAGGACTATCCAACCCTGGGACATCCGCAATATCATTTCATCCCCGTCCGTATACCTAAAACTGACGTGCGACTTACGACTTATTTCCTGCTTTTCCAAGGCGGCTCGGGTAGCTGTTAGATAGCATGGGATATCCGGGATGGGTTATGGTCGGTGTCGCTTCATTTTCCAAGCCGTGAAGTTCCCAAGGCTCCCACTTGGTTCTCCAGTGGCCATGAGGTGAAGGTGAACAGTGGCGGCTGAGTCATGTTGGATAATCAGCGTTGGATTCTGTTGTCATCAAAATGGAGTCCTATAGACCGCACATTTAACAGCTTTGTTGTGGACAGCCAAGCGGAACGAAGACTCGTTATTCTGGCGGAGGATGTCCTCATCGTTGATATTTCCGATTACTGGATGCTCTAGCCACCCTTGTCCTTTGCTCTGTTATGTTTCCGGCACGTACTGCACATGTATTATTTTATTCGCTTCGATCCTTTTTGTACATGGAACTGTTTGATCGATAGTGGTGTCCCACCAGTCTCATATCATGAAATGATGATGATCTAACCATGACCTAGCTGCCCGTCACTTCCTCATCAAAGCCATGAAAATCAAGCACGTCTGGGATGCGGCCCACCCGTAGTGAACGCGCATGTAGGTGCGCACATATATATCACGGTCGGGTCACGTTATTGAACGCCCTCATGAGGTCGTGATGGTGGCCCGTGCTGCTTCGATCATGGTACTACTTCTTCTCTAGTTTCCCTCCCATCGTAGGTCCACACTACAGAGATCAGAACTCGTAACGAGCGCCGTGGAGTAGATGAACTCACAAGTCCTTGATACCTACCAGGGCTCAGGAAGAAGTCGCAATGCGACTACCTGAATATTCATCAGAGCTCTCTGGTATATGGAAAATGAAACGACTCTACACAGTTTAGCCGCATGCTGCAGTACCTCCCGTGGCACACAACACCCTCACCCACGCCAACCATATAGGATTGCCGTCCGGCGCCCGAACGGTCGGCGGCTATCTTGGCGCCTCGCAGGTGAAAATTGTTTGAAGGCACAAGTGCAACAGGCCTTTGCCCGATCGTTCCTGATAGAGCTGCTTGAATTATCGTTGCAGTGACTGCAAGCGCCTACTTGCAAGCTGTAAGGCTGAACACATCATCCGACCCCCATCTGCGCTGCTCGCCGCTTTCCCCACTCCTACTGTTTGTGCAGTTGGCTTAACACGGTAGGTCCCGGCGTCGCGACCGGGCAGGGGTCACTCTGCGGCTTCTCTCTGGAGTTTGATGGCACGGTAAGGATCCTTCATCTCGCCCA